TACTCGAAGACCACAGTGTCCAGTCCGAAGTATAAAAATTGATGTTTGCTCTTTCCTATTGAGTTTGTTTATGATGTCACTCTCTGGTCTGTAATCTCCATTCTGCCTTCTCCACTGCCCCTTGAAAGACTGCTTTATCGCTGTTTTGGTTTCCTTGTAGCTGTGTGGTAAATGAGGTTGTGGAAGATTACTCCCAGCTTTTGCCAACTCATCTGCTCTCTCATTTCCTTGAATACCACAGTGGGCTGGTATCCACTGCAAGACCAGTTCTGCTTCCTTGGAGAGTAGGCCAAAGTTGGTCCTAAGATCTGCAATTAGTTTGTCTTGTCAATGAATGTTCAAGGATGTGTCTGTTGATGATTGGGCAGTTTATAGACGACTGTTGATTCAAGTCTGCACTGTTCCAAACTGTGAAGCTAAGCTCTGGGTTTACCTACTAAGGTCGCAGATATTTTTATTGACTTTTGGTTGGGGAACTTTATCTGTAGTTTTTCATTGCTTCTGATAGATGTCATATCTTCTCTTTAACTATTTTCAAGGTTCCTGTATGTACAAGTCCATGGATGTCATGCCTTTTAAGGTCGCTGTGACCTTGATTCTGCTGCAACAATATACTGGTGGAGCTGAATGCTCTTATTACTGGAGACATTTTATACGGAGTCTTTTTAACTTCTTGACAAACAAGTAAAAACTTGCATCAGTTAACCAAATGTTTTCTCTTCTCCGAGATCGGACTGCTTGTGAAGCAGATCAATGCCAGTTCTGGCGACCGTCAAGGTTGGAGCCGTTTTCACCACAGGGACCACCAAGATAACGGTTTTTTACAGTGTGGATATAAATTGACATACCCAACCTGGCAAATAAAACAACCTTGGTGTAGCAAGGAGTGCCCGGAACTGTTGTATTTTTTCTAGCAACACACGCGTCATTATTATTATTATCGATTAAACTCTTGTTGACTATTTTGTTAACTTTTTGTTGATTGGATCAGTAGCAGCTATCGAGTGGGGTAGCAAAGAGAAATATTAAATCAAATTTGTGTGTGAAGACATGAGTAGTGGTGCATTCTATTTGTGCTTTAGCCAAATCAAAGATATGCCGCTGTGAACGTGCTTTCTAATCTAATGTAGAAAGAATCTAAAAATCCGGGCAATATTACAAATTCAACCTTACAGTCACAATATTAGAAATAGCATTAGAAATAACAAACAAAATAGTTCATTATCATTCTCTCTCTGTCAATGAAAACAAAGATCATTGTGTTGTCAAGTATTCTACCTTGACAAAATAGCACACCATCTGTTGCTTATCTGTACGATTGTTTGTGGTTGCAATGGCTTGCAAATAAACCGTTTTTTTTGGTTGTTTTCTTTATGTCCATCTTGTTGGCGGCACTTCAAATGTTTTTATTTCTCCGCGCATTTGTCTCTGAACAAAGGGCCCCTGATATCATCGCGGTAATTAATCATCTCGTATATCATTGCCGGTGTATCTGGTTGTCCTTGTATATCATTGTCCTTGTATATTGTTGTTGCTCAGAATAAGAAACAAGATTAAACAAGAAATTAGTAAAGAATAACAATGAGTTTTTTTTTTTTTTAAAATAAAGGAAATGTGCAATCACTGTCGTAAAGAGCCATAGAAGTAACATGCGTATGTGGTACAAAAGATAGTGGAAGGCAAGACGAGAAGATTTTTGACAGCCTTTTGTCACGACAGGGAAGGGTTTCAGCACACGACCTTATAAACGCTGCTGAAAATCGCAGACTATGGAGACGCATGATCGTCCACGACAGTGGGAAAGGCACCTGATGAAGATGACGATGGTGATGGTGATATCGTTGTCCACTGGTTTTTCTTTGAATGTTTTGTTTCGAGTGCGAGACCATATTATTTTTTAGCTTTTTAGCTTTCCGTCTGTTTCTGTCAGTGTACGATTCCTTTATACTCTTATCACTGACTGTTGACATACATAGGCCGTTGTCAGAGGTAGTAGGGTGGAAGGATGAAAAGAATAAAATGACAAGAAGAACGAAGACTAAGAAAAGGAAGAAGGATAAGGAAAAGAAGAAGAAGAAGAAGAAGAAGAAGAAGAAGAAGAAGAAGAAGAAGAAGAAGAAGAAGAAGAAGAAGAAGAAGAAGAAGAAGAAGAAGAAGAAGAAGAAGAAGAAGAAGAAGAAAAAGAATAAGAATAAGAAAGAAGAAGAAGAAGCAGAAGAACAAAAACAAGACATGAAGAACAGGAAGAACAAAAAGAAGAAGAGGAGAAGAGAAGAAAAAGAAATAGTAGTGGTAGCAGCATCAGTAGCAGTAGTTCCAGCAGCAGCATTAGCAGTAGTGGTAGTAGTATAGTGGTGTTGATGGTTGTGGTGGTAATGGTCGTAGTAGTGGTGTTGATGGTTGTGGTGGTAATGGTCGTAGTAGTGGTGTTGATGGTTGTGGTGGTAATGGTCGTAGTAGTGGCAGTGGCGTTAGTGGTGGTGGTGGCAGTAGTAGAAATTGCTGTAGATGTCGTTGTAGTACTATTATAAGAACAAGAAGAAGGAAAACAAGAACAAGATGAACGTAAGGAACGAAAACAAGTGAGAACTGATTTGAATTGTTTTTTAGCTAGTTATTTAATCGAAAGATTATCCTCAGTGCATAGCGAACATGTCCATAAGCCCGTATGGCTACTGATAACACCTGTTCTTTGTTGTTTTACTATTCTTTTGTGGCAACCTGTATAGTGTTTATGTTTGGCAATACCTCTTTTGACCTGAATTTCTTGTAGTCTTTTGAGTGTTGCCGACTCACCGTCCTCTCCTGAATAACCTTCTCATCCTGTCTCATCGACAGCAGTGAGAATGTCGGCCCGGTCATTCTTTTTCTTACCTACCGTGGCCCTGCCAGGAGCCAATCCGCTCGTTGATTCCCTCTTACTACAGAGTGCCCTGGCACAAAATTGAAACTAATTCCTTTCAGACGAGCTCCAAACATTTTCTTCGAATCCATCTGTCTCTGCGAATCTTCTTATTGTGGATGGGTCTCAAGAACTGCTGCCAAGAGCAGACAACTCGGTAGTTGGGGGTCAACAAAACCGGCGGCAGCAGCAACAACAGCAGCAAAATCCCAATATTTTTTTTAATGAATAAACTGGGTTGACATCAATTATACTGGATAGGGTTCACATGCTGAAGTTATAATAAATCTAGAACACAGTGATATACTTATTTCTGCATATCGCCAGAGGTTAGACTAAGTCGCCATCCTGCAAGTCCAAGTCGGATCCCGAGTCAAGGTCACCAAGTCGATAGTCGAGTCTCATTCAAGTCACTTCATGTTTCAAGTCATTAGCAAGTCGTGCATGGGAAATTACTTTAAGATTAAAAATAATGGCGAAAATGCCAAAATGGAAATGACAGTGCGAAACACTTACTAGCTATATATATATATATATATATATATATATATATATATATATATATATATATATATATATATATATATATATATATATATAAAATATATATATATATATGTTTTTTTAAAGAATCCAGAAACCATGAGATGTAAACCCTTTGGCTCGGTACTATGGATATTGCCACCCTTGATTCCGTGATAGGTTAGGTTAGGTTAGTAGCGTATTCTTTACAGGACGGTGCAGAACCCAACCACATCAGCCCCTAGCTGTTGTGTGGTTTTACTAGGCAATTTACGTTCAGTAGTTTGCTATTGCTCTCTGGACGGTTAGCTCTCTGATACCACTGTCGAAACCAACGCTATATATATATATATATATATATATATATATATATATATATATATATATATATATATATATATATATATATATATATATATATATAAACAATCGAGAAACCATGAGTTGTTAACCCTTTGGCTCGGTACTATGGATATCGCTACATTTCGGTCTTGATTCCGTGATAGATACCGTAAATATGGGAGAAATGTTTTTTTTTTTGCCTACCCCCGGGCGTGAGCCCGGTCCACAAGGAGTTCGTCACCAGGTCACCGCGCAGTCCGGTTTAGCCAACTGCGCTGGAGAGTGTCTAAAGCGGAAGAAGTTGAATGTGAAAGCTTGATAAAGTCGAACATAATTTATTCTTTCCTGTTTTTTATAAAGACATTTGAAATTATGACGCTGATAATCAAAACTGACAATGGCTAGCCGCTAAGGAGAATCGTACCAAGAGGTCAAAGTTGCAAGTCGATGGACAAAACTCCCAGTCGAGTCGCAAGTTGTTAATTACGCGACTTACGTCGGACTCGAATCCAAGTCCCATAACTCGCTGACAATAAATTATAGCCCGTGGTTACTATAACTACGTGGCAATGAAATAGCCACAATGAAATCAATGCAAAAAGCAGTGATCGCTTGTGAATCGACTTCCACTCATTAACATCCATTGTTGCTACGGCCACTCCTACAAGCGAGCCGGAAACGTCCATGTCTCCACGACCTTTTGGCTGGGGTAGAGGGAACATCCCACCGTGAGCTTTATACAGATAACTGTGCGCATGCGCTCTGGCAAGTATAGCTCCTACAGTCCGAATGTCACATAGATAATTCAGTTCATGATGTAATGAGCCTTTGTACAAGTCGCAGTTTGCTGCGTACAGTCATGATCCTAAAGGTAGAGCTCATGTTTTTTATAAACCTTGTTTAATGCTCGGAAAAAAACATTACACAAGTTCAGAACAGTTTGTAGATATTTTCAAACAATTGTTCATTCAAAATGGAGATACACTTGACAATGTAGTAGTGGTAACAGATTTTCGGTTGCACAATGATGATTAATAGGCTGTTATAATAACTAGACCATATGTTGCTTCGGTCTTGGGTTGGCGGTATTACATTGCCATGCTAGGATTGTTTATAATTCTTGACAACAACATCGGATCATCAGGTGTAGATAAAAGATAATTGATGAAGTGATTATATAGTTTATCAAACCTATAATAGTTTTTAGCTGGGTACGCTAACATAGTTGAAGACGATGAAGAAGTTAATAAGGTCATGTATTCTGCTTGTAGTTGTCAGTGTTTTTTTTCTAGGGGCAGGTGAAGCATCAAATTCCTCCACCGTGTCTAACGGTCAAGTTGAGAGAATACACAGTACCTCACAGATAAATACAATGAATTCCGTGGACAAGGCTAATGGCCTAATATTGGCAGAGCACGTCAGGAGGGTGACAAGAAGTACAAATGGCGTTGCAACGCTAAACTGTAGTTGGCAAGGAGACTTCAATATCACACTAGCCATAGAACAAGGAACTGGGTTTCAGGCTGATCTTTGTTCGTGGGAATGCTATGGGGAATCTAATAGAGGAAACACGGAGAAAAGAAGCAGTTGTTTAGGCTCAGAACTGTCATGTCCGCTGTGTTATTGTGATAGTGTGTGCTCCCTCTACAGAGACTGTTGTGGGGTTACGCCTGGGAATGTGTCTAACAATAAAACGGATTCATCTACACCTCAGCAAAGCTACAGCTGTTTCCACACAGACGACCTTACTGCTGTATACATCATTGCTTCCTGTCCTGCAAGGGCTACGACTTCTGTGGGAAGTATCGAATCCTCGAACTTAATCCAACAATCAAGCCGGACTCATTCTACTGCTAAGCTTCAGGCCTCCATATCAGAGGTGCAGTGCAATACTTGTCTCTTCTCGCCAGAGCTGATTCGTCTAATAACTTCAGCAAATACTGGCAACACTTACTGCAATCACCACTGTCTCCACTGCACTGAAAGGCGATATGCCAACGATACTGATATCGTGTGGAGAGAAAGGAAATCTTGTACGACACAAATGGTCAGCAACGAGGCCGGCCCAGCTAATGAAAATAACACAGGGTCCCAGGATGTTTACTGTCCAACTGTATATGAACGACCTAATAATGTGAGCACCAGACAGTGTGACAGTCTGTTTCATAGCAAAATAGAAACCACTAGTGTAAACACTTGTCAGTCAGAACTGTTGGAAAGCCTGTGTAATCTGAGCTCGGCAGTTGTTGAACAACTAGAACAGCTGTGTGAACTTTACATCTCTCCGGTCTACACAGGGGACGTCATTTATCAGAATATCTTCTGTTACCTATGCCAGGTAAGGGTTGCTGTCCTTTGCATCTCTCGAAGTTTATCCACAGTGTCATGATTGAAATGTTCTGATACTGATCACACCATCCACTGATTGTACAGGCACAGTTACAAACCTCAATCACCAACTGTACAGACACAGTTACTAACCTCATCCACCAACTGAACAGGCACAGTCACTAACCTCATCCACCAGTTGTACAAGCACAGTCACAAACCTTATCCATCAACTGTACAAGCACAGTCACAAACCTCATCCACCAACTGTACAAGCACAGTAACAAGCACAGTAACAAACCTTATCCACCAACTGTACAGGCACAGTCACAAACCTCATCCACCAACTGTACAGGCACAGTCACAAACCTCATCCACCAAGTGTACAAACAAGCACAGTCACAAACCTCATCCACCAATTGTATAGACACAGTCACAAACCTCATCCATCAACTGTACAGGAACAGTCAGAAACCTTCATCCACCAACTGTACAGGCATAGTCACAAACCTCATCCACTGATTGTACAGGCACTGTCACAAACCTCATCCACCAACTGTACAGGCACAGCTACAAACCTCATCCACTAATTGTACAGGCACAGTCACAAACCTCATTAACCAATTGTACAAGCACAGTCACAAACCTCATCCACCAATTGTACAGACACAGTCACAAACCTCATCCATCAACTGTACAGGCACAGTCACAAACCTCATCCACAAATTGTACAGGCACTGTCACAAACCTCATCCACCACCTGACAGGCATAGTAACAAACCTCATTCACCACATGTACACAGACATATACAAACCTCATTCACCAACGTACTTGCACAGATTCAAACTTCGTCCACGAAAGTGTACAGGCACAGATACAAACCTCATCGACCAAGTTTACAAGCACAGACAGAAAGCTCATCTATAAACTGTACAAGTACTGAGACAAACCTCATCCACCAAGTGTACAGTTACAGGTACATACCTCTTTTCAATTGTGCATGCACAGTTACGAACCTCGACCACCAAGTGTACAAACACAAATACAAACCTCGCCATGAGTTGTACACGCACAGATACCAACCTTATTATTAACTGTACACTCGCTAGTACAAACATTATCATCATGTGTACAGGCACAGATAAAGACCTCATAATCAGTTGTACGCGCACAGCTACAAACCTGTTCATGAAGTGTGCACGATTATGTTTTTATGTTGGACTTTCACAAACTGATAGATATCAAAATGTCCGATCAAACGATACTTCATTGATGCCTTTTAGTCAATTCTAAGCGGGGTTATTATAATTTTAGCGGCTCATACTACCAGTAAAGTTCAGAAATCGGGGCAACAGGCCTAATTGTATACGCATTTCTTAAATACATATGATGCAATGCCTACTCTGTTAAAATATACAAATTGGATGTGGGGGGGGGGGGGGGGGGGCAGTCTCCTGTTAGGTTTCTAGATTCTCTACTTGAGGAGCGCAATAATTATGTTAAGTATAATTTGTCCAGTTGGCAAATACTGTACATAGTGAATGCAAATGTGGTATATTTGAAATACTATGGAATGTATAAAAACAAATACCTGAAACATATGCATCGCTGGAGACCACTATACCTGCTTGTCAATTGTCTATGGAGCATGGGGGGGGGGGGTGTTCAGTCCTAACTCAGTTATACCTGAATGTATAAACGTTTATATAGAATATTACAGCAACACATTCAACAAGTAAATGCGCTGTCAAAAATATTAGTATTACTCATATTATTGTATGTGTTTGATGGAAGTCATGTTTTAATGAGGCAATAGAAAAGTAATTAATGTCTCTCTTTCATGTCAGGGCGAGGATCCCGTGTTTTGCAGGAAATCGGAATTATACGACATCACAAACTTTGGGTACAAATCCAAGATCAACCTGGGAACACTCACAGATCTGTCTGCCAACACTGACCACGCAAACATTGAACAGGCACAGCCAAATGCTGGGGACCGCTGGAAGCAAGCAATCGAGGTCAACTGTCAGCATGCATACTGGGAAGATCACTTGAAGGTATCTCACTCAGTTCGACGTTAGTGCTTTCTCCCACCCCTCATTTTCTTTCTGTAGAACTTTGGGGAAACTTGTTGTGGTACATCGTCCTGTGTGGGTTTGGGACCCACATTTGGGAGTGTGTGTGGGGGAAAAGGGGTGAGGGGGAGGAAAAGGGGGGGGGGGTAGTAAGACTGCCCAATAAGCCAAAAGCCGTTGAGGAGATCACACAAAAAAGAATTCAAAATAAAATAAATAAGGAAGCACATGAAATCAGTTTAGGTTTCGAAAAAAAAAAAAAAAATGCCTCTGTGGAAGTCAAAATGTGTCTAAAGATGCTGACTTAAATGATATAGGAATTCCTAAAAGTGTTTATGTATATTTCATAGATTACAAGGAGGGCTTTGACATGATACAACATAAAACTAGGTTTAAGAAAGTCAAGAGTATCGACTTCATTGCACCTGGTTTTATCACATATTGCTCTGTCTCTCTCTCTGCATAACGACCAGCCGTCTGTAGAGAGCATCGCACAGAGCACGAACTCCGTAGCTTCCACGACGATTCTCCGGGATCTCCGTAAAAACTGCACTGGTGAACTAAACGACACAGCTGTGAAACCAACCCACGACCTTTAGAGCCCGAGGCAAACGGCTTGATCCCTTTGCCTCGAAAACCCAGAAAACAAGCAGCGAACAACATGAAATTATTATTGTATGCCTCCAGAGTATAGGATTAGAGGTACAGGGTATTAGAATTATTAGTAGCATATATGGTGAACAAAGAGCACCAGTTAAACACAACAACATTGCCTCACCAGAGAGATATACAGATAAGTACATCAAGTATGTGTGTCATCCCCGACCCTTTCAACGTAGATACAGAAAACATTTGTTTAGACAAGTTGGAGAACAGAAGAATAATCAACAATTTGAGATATGTTGATGACACAGTGCTTTAAGTAGAAAGCGAGTAGGAGTTATACCACCTATTGGCATAATGCCAACAGGCACAAATGTAACCCCCCTCCCCCCACCCACACACACACACACACACACACACACACACATATATATATATATATGTGCAAAACACAGTTTATTTCACAATTCATTGTCTGGCATGTACTGCTGTATCTCATCAGATACATCAGCATACATAAACATATCATAAGCCCTAACACATTTTTTGGGGAGCAACAAAAATCACATTGTACATCTCACCAAGGGAAGTTTAAGATCAGTAAGTTTATCCTCTGTATGTTATTAGTCCTTAATTACATCCTTTTTTTTTTAAATTCTGATCGTCTGCGTGAGATGTGTGTTGTATCCACCAAGAACGTTTCCATATTCTCATCGTCTGCGTGAGATGTGTGTTGTATCCACCAAGAACATTTCCATATTCTCATCGTCTGCGTGAGATGTGTGTTGTATCCACCAAGAACATTTCCATATTCTCATCGTCTGCGAGAGATGTGTCTTGTATCCACCAAGAACATTCCCACCCTGTGACTTAATGGGAACCTCGTTAGCGCAGTGGCCAGATGCTTAACTGCTTTCCGAAGGTCTTTGGTTCGAGTCCAAATTAAGACTGATTTTGTTATAAAATTGACCCTGGCTCAAAGATGGACCCAGTCTAAAATGGGTACCAGTTAGGGTCCTGGGAAGTGAAAGCGGATAGAGTGATATTAATTAAACCACCCATTGGGTGTCGATTGGTGTGTAAACTATATTCTAGCATCACATGACCATCAGGCCAAACATTTGAGGAAAGGGTCCTTGACTTTGTCTGTCCTAACAGACCCAGGGACACTCGACAGACACGTACACAATTCATGGTGAGGTTTTTAGTTTCCTTGCCTATGCTCGTTAAAGATTTCTGTATCTTCATTCCATTTATTCTCAGTTAGAAATTATATTTACCCTTTTATTTTTAAATCCTGACAGGAAACTTGCCTACCTGTTGTTTGCTCCCCGGGCCGAGCAGTAGCAAACACAACCACCTCATCAGAAAGTTACTGCAAGATGGAGGACAGTCAACATTCCAAAGATTTATACAAACTATACGTGACTGTATATATTCCACTGTTGAGTGAATCCAGCAGCGGAAGAGGCAAGCAAGACTTCGACTCTGACATAATCACCAGTAAACAAGGTCAAAGCGATGAGAGCATGTGTAGTGACAGCCAGAGCCGCTTGTGCATCGATGAAAGAGATGACACGTTAGATGTTGCTACACAAAGTGAGGTAGACGATTTAGTAAGCTCATTAACTAAACAGTTCAAGGCTTTTTGTGGGGAAATGGGAAATATTTACGGTGTTAACGATTTACTCCATCCAGAAGGCAGAACTGACAAGAATCAGAATAAAGAAGTCGTGTTGGAGAAGTCTGAACGTGGTTTTAGCCACTTCCCAACAGTGAGACGCAGAACCATGTCTGAGGTAGAGCTTACAACTCTTGACATTGACAGCGATGGCATACAGCAACCCGCCAACCACCGAGTAACGCCGGAAGAACAGACAGATAAGAAAGTGAACCCAATGACCTTTAAAGGAAATCTCATTAATTCATTGCAACGATATTTTGTGTCCGGCATGACCAGTCTAGGAGTAGCAAAGTATGCCTTTCAGCTCCACAGTGTTCATGCTAACAATAAGCGCTTTCAAAACAAACAATCCGTAGAACATTGGGAAGATGTTTCTGAATCCTTACGCTGTGATTCTCAGTCTGCTATGACAGCTATTGTGCTGGCCAGGCTACCATCTGCTGCTGACAGAGATGTTTTTGAAAGTAACCTCCTACATCACTTCAACGGGGCGAAGAACATCACCATGGACACAACGGTGGTGAATGTAGAAATGGTGTTATCTAGCTCAGACAAGGTGTCCCTGATTGCTGGTCAGCCAGTCTATTACTTCAGCTCACTAAACAAGGAGTGTCAAGTTTTTACCCAACCAGACCAATTGACCCAACGATTTGGCGACGTTGCTTGTTTGGGTGACGAATGTAGAATTGTGCCATTTAACCTTGTTTCTTCTTGCCCTTATATCACTCTCAACATTTCAGACTTCAGCATATCTAAAGACTGTGAACTGACCAAGGATGGCGTGACGTTGAGAAAAAGCCAGTATATACAAGGGAACGAGACAATCGATATTTGCATTGTAACGTTCAGATCGATATTTAAGTACCAAACCGATATTCACAGCAAAGTATCTTTGATTTCTATCATCGAGAGTCTCTTGACCATGACTTCTCTAAGCTTGTCTCTCGCCTGTCTCCTTCTGACTTTCATCACGTACGTGACGTTTCCCACATTGCGTTCTTTGCCAGGGAAGAACAACCTGATCATGGTCACTTTGCTATTTATTGCACAGCTTCTGGTTATGCTGCACACGATGCCTACAAAACACAGCACGGCGTGTGCCGCCATGGGAGTTCTGCTGCATTACTCATGGCTATTTACTGTCTTGTGGATGTGTATCTGCTCCTTTCACATGTTTCATGTGTTTGTGATTCGGCGTGGTGTTCCCAGCTCTCGTAGATCTGACACTTTCTACCTTACCCGTTATATTGTTACATGTGGCTCCCTCGCTCTATTCGTTGTTCTCTTTGTTGTGTTCAGCAATGTTTACATATCTAACTACGGCAACATAGGATATGGCGGGCATGTCTGTTACCTCAACTCCAGTATTCTGGTAGGTGTGGCTTTCCTGCTCCCACTGACAGTTGTTCTCTTGTTGAACTCGTTTTTCTTTTCCATGACTGTCTACACAATTTCTCGCATTGGAGATGTGAAGAAACATTCTGGGCACGATCGGAGAAACATACACATCTATTTCAGACTGAGCTCCCTGACTGGTCTGTGTTGGATTCTTGCTCTTCTAGCAGAGATTCCCGGTCTCCGACCTCTGAGATGTTTGTCCATTCTTGTTAACGGCAGTCAAGGAGTAGCCATCTTGCTTTCTTATGTCTGTAACAGACGCGTGGCACGAATGTGGCTTCACCTCTTGAAATCCAGAAGTACATGGCTCGACAAGAAGCCAGCAGACTCCAGCAGACAACTGACCTTGAGCACCAGTCTGTGAGCTTTGACGTGGAGCTTTGACGTTCCGTCAACTTGTCGTTGATCATGTTTCTCATTAATTAACAGATTGCATGTGCATATTAGAGTATGCGATTTAAGAAGTAGTCGCATACGAAACCAAACCGTTTGATTAGTCAAGACAAACACATAAGAAACGTTCACTTGAAACCCTTCCAGTGGCTTTATTACAAAAACATAGAATAAACATCCACAGGTGTAACATGAATTTAAAAAAAAAAAAAAAAAAACAAATTTGAAAGAAATATACACCACAGATTGGTCAAAAAAAAAAAAAAAAATCATTCAGGCAAGCATCCCTTAGGTTGGCGACGAATGCCGTCCGCAAAGTATGATTGGGGTAGCTCACTGAACCATTATAGAACGCGTTCAATACGTCTGCATCTGCATGAAGTCATCCATTGATACCTTGTTTAAGAGGTCTAAACAAAGGTAAATATCATAGTCAGAAATCAGGACTTCAGATCTTGCAGACTTCCCCACTTCTTCCGTACCAACCCTTCCTGTGCAGTCTTTGCAGCATGTGGACGGACATTATCGTGCAACAAAATCATAACGCCAGCATGCGTGTTCTGATGTTTATTCTTGATGGTTTTATGCAACTTGTCTAGTGTTTCCAGGTAGTGGGTGGAGTCGATGTTGACTGTAACTTAACTTTCTGAGATATTTGGTAATCCAGCATGCGTCCATTGGATGCAGTCTCTGTTGCAGCTCTGCTCTAGGCTTTTATACCTTGATTCAATGCCTGACACTCTGAGGGGGAGAACTGCATCACCTTCCGCCCTGTAACGCTTCAGGCAGGTTCAAACCACTGCTATACTTCTGTCCACCATCTACATTTGTTACCATGATGTGCTTGAATCTCTAATGAATGTCCACTGATGGTCATCCTTTAAATGAAAGAATCTGAACCGTCGCAATTGAACTTCTGTGTACAGATTCTGGAAATCAATCCGAACAATTTCTCAAAAGTCAGAAAATGGGACGATAAGCACGTGATCTTTTAATCAGTGGTCAGCACTTTTTAAATGACCATGACATGATCATGTTCAAGACATGCATTTACGCGCTATTTAGCACGAACGGTTTTCAAATGAATAGTCCTCAGATGAAGATTGCAGGTACGAAAACATGCCCATAGTGAAAGGTCTGATGTTTTCTTCATTTTATTTTTGCTTATACAACACCAGCATTAGCATCTAAAAGAAAGGTCGGTGATGGTCACATATACAAAAAGATGTCCCTGAAGGAAAGGACACAAGGTGGAAGAGCTGGCAGCAGACAGAGTTTCCTTCTGTAGTGAAAGCGAAGTTGAAGTACCTGTTTCTGTTTTCCTCGTCTTTAAAGAGAGTCCTATTTTGTGTGCAAAAGTTGTTCACCATTTTGATTGTTCAGCTACCAGTACTGTATCATCTGGCAAACTTGGATTGCTTATATTATAACCTGAAACTCGCATTCCTGTATTTTTTTAAATCTCTCTCAAAAGTCACGAGAGAGAGAGAGAGAGAGAGAGAGAGAGAGAGAGAGAGAGAGAGAGAGAGAGAGAGAGAGAGAGAGAGAGAGAGAGAAAGAGAGAGAGAGAGAGAGAGAGAGAGAGAGAAATCCTCCTGCACTGCATGTTTTATCTGCTCATAATTGCAAGCTATGTATGCGATACATGCTTGCACTGCCTACTATTGCAGATAGGCTCAAATTTCTGCAAGCAAAGTCATATCTCAGAGTAGTTGCAGACAAGAAGCACCTCCTGCATGAAGCTCAGGGTAAATCTAACGGTCACAGACCGAAAAGAAGAAGGTCTTGGAAGAAAACACAATCAGACATGTGTGCAGGCTTGATAAATTTGTCCGAGGTGAAGAGTGGGTCAAAGTGTCTGAACAAGTTTTAGACGTGGGCAGGGTTATTATCACTCTTGTCTTGAGGGGAGACTGGCCAGCTGGCACTGCAGAATCAGTTCAACAAATGATTTATTATTATTCCCGTCCAATTGATGTGATTATCTATATAGATGGCCCTGAGTAGAGGGGCAGACAAAGTGCATGGGGGTTTATGGCAAAGGAGAATTGTCACGAGACGATCTCAGTGATTCCAGAAGTTAGTACTTGTAATAAGTTCTTCTGGTTCTAAAGAGACAGAATTATATTTACTCCGCGCTTTATCCTAATATTGCTTTAAACCGCACGGATTTAAATTGTTACCAGTCCTTCTTCGAGACAAGCCACTGCGCTTTGTTTAAAATTACCCAACACTACGTAATATAGCCCGCTGGTTCAGACTAGGGATGTTACATTGCATTCTCACGCCAGTGTCAGAATGTTATCTCCTGACCAGACTGTAGAGACTGAGGGGGGCCCTTTTGACCAGGTAAATTGAGTGGACGCTAGACATTGTGGAGCCCAGAGGTCAGAGTTTCACACGTCAGTGTAATTCGGGGGAGAACAGTTGTGTGGCAATTAGGACTGTTTGATCTGGGTCAAGTAGGAAACACAATGGCTTCACTGAACGTCTTTTAACACCTGCCAGTTAGATTCGTTGTAAACTAGATTGGGTCACTTAAGAATGTTTGCTCTAGGGATGTCAGTCCAGAATTGAGTGACAGGTCACTGGTTAGCCAAGTGATCTGATAGTTACCTCAGGGGCGGTGCTTAAGCCATCATCTTGAGGGTTGGGTAAAAACTAAGGAAAGGGAGGAGTTTAATTTGGACAATAGATTGATACTTATACTTCGAGCCTGTGGAATTTCCGTCATTAATCGCAGCCTGCCGGCAAACAACACAGATCGACCTAAAAGGTAAATTTTACGGTCGCATTCTGTTTTGGCGATTAATGGAAAGTTCCCAGGTAAGAGAAAATATTAATTTTAATCTTGTATACTTAGGTTAGGGAGTTAAGCTTTTAGTCTATACTACCTTTTCCTAATTTGTCTGCACATTCTGCTTGAAATAGTTCTTTGTGAATGTTCAGTATCTCAGTTAGGGAACTGCTAAACTATTCCTATTTCTTGTATGTTTGTGTCACATGTTTTTCATTGTATGTTTTCATGTGTATAAAATAAGATGTGAACAATGACATTTGCTATAATGAAATGTAATTATATTGTTTTCACGATCAGCCAAAATATGAGTTGGGACTGTGGGAAATGATGCCCAAATATGTGCAGGGATGCTGCTACGTTTTGTGTGCCCACCATGTGCTCACTTAATGTGTTCACCTGAACAGGGGATTTATAACCCCAGGGGAAGAATGATGGGTGTACAGTATTCACGGTCACTGAAAGATAATATTCAGGACAGCGTGCACATATAAATTGTTTGCGTTTTCAGCACATAACCTGCTCCACGTGGTCATGTAATATCAATGTCAGCCAGTTGCTCGAAGTCTGAGTGAAGACGGACAACAGACTTAGAAAGTCAACTATCATGACATAGCATTTGAGGGAAGGCAGGATATGTGACGCCCATGTAAGACAAAAGACCTTCAGACTAGACTGGAGAGGATGTGGAATATGAGGAGGAGTGATGGGCTATATCTTATTATTATATGTTGTATTAATTGATACATGTATTCTTAGTGTAAGTCAAGATACTACACGTATGTGTTTTTGTTTCCATGATTACAGCGCCCATGTGACGATCAGTCCATGAAGTAGCCTACATTGTGTTAGACTCGGCCAGCTGGGAACGAGGTGGAGAACGAGGTGGAGAACGAGGTGGAGAACGAGGTGGAGAACGAGGTGGGGATGAAGTGGAGAATAAGCTGAAACAGGCAGACAACAGGCAAGGAAGAGTTGGACAAGCTTGACAGTTCCTCACGGCTGTCAGAGGCTTATAAGTTGAGTTAACCCCTTTATGTTAACCTATTTTCATCATTATCATACCACTCTAAACCCCGAGCTGTTTTTCTCGCTGAAGCTTACCACCATCATCAAGTTAACCAGTCACTGTTTGTGTAAATCAACAAACTGGGAATTTCATTGTAGTAAATAAAGCTGTATGTCAAGTTTTAAACTACATAGTTTGTTAAATTCCAAATGTCTGTTCTTACATGTTTAATTAAACTGTTAGGATAGAATACCATTTGGTGGGAGCTCAAATAATATAATAATTCTTTAATTATTAATAATAACACCGGGAGAAGGTAGATGACGGAGGAATCACTTGCCCTGTCTAATAATTCATTTAGTATGATAGACATCTAAAATTCCTTGCCTTCTCTTGTGGGTACCAAGTTCAGCTAATGTTAATATACTTAACGAGCCAATATGGCTGTTTTCTTGGATATCCAGGACTTTGTCTGAGAGCAACATAGCTCAGATTTTAGTTCGGTTTATCTAGTGGAGAGAATGTGTTGAAAGGAAGATCCCTACTCAACAACATAAACATTTAAACCACGCGTCACGTCACACTGGCGAGCTCGCCGAGATTTGGACTGGGCTAATTACTCCTAGACTAATGAAAGTAAATTTATTAAATTTAACTTTAACTCTTCTGCCAGTATACTCTAAATTCAAATTAGTAATTTATACTTGGGGAGAGAGTACAGAGTAATAAATAACTTTTTACTAAAATCAATAAATGGATAGTATCATGTCTTATCATTGATCACTTCATAACCATTGATTATTGCTTATTTAGTAAATTTTAATGTTGATGATTATTATATTTGCTTGCATGTTTCATCATTTGATATAGATTGTAGAGCATTATATGTTGACATCATATCATTGATACTTATGCTTAGTGACTGAATGTAAAATCACATCATATCATTTACCGGTGTATCCTCTGTGCTGCTATACTATTCTGAAAGCTGTCAGTCTGGTAGGCCACTTTGATTTATTTACATCTTTGTGCGGCTGTCATAGGCTACTCTCTTGCCCAGTTTACCTTGCTCTGACATATTCTTTTATTCCGGAATCGGGGTAGTATTATATTTATCTTTAGATAGATCTAATAAGATAGAATGGACTTACGCACCGAGTTCCTA